CTTTTCCAGGTTCTGCAGTCATTTGAACAAAATTGTAGAGACATTCAGCACTCTCCATTAAAAAAAAAAAAAGTAAAAACAAAACCCCAGAAAAACAGCACAGTTCTGTTACCCTTGTGGTACCTGGCACCATTTTTTTTTTTAATTAACTTCTCAATCATCATCTGGAAGGAAACCATTCTGAGCAACATCATTAAAAACAGTTCTGATAAAGCAGGTCACCACTATGTATCATAAAGCAGGTCCACATATGAGTAAGTACATACCATGTTTATCTTTTTGTGATTGGGTTACCTCGCTCAGAATGATTTCTTCGAGTTCTATCCATTTTCCTTCAAATTTCAAGATTCCATTGTTTTTTTTTTTCTGCTGAGTAGTACTCCATTGTGTAAATGTACCACCTTTTCTGTATCCATTCTTCAGTTGAGAGGCATATAGGCTGCTTCCCGTTTCTGCCTATTACATACAAATAATGCTGCTATGAACATGGTTGAACATATGTCCTTGTTATATGAATGTGCTTCTTTTGCGTATATGCCTAGGAGTGGAATAAAATATTTCATTCTTAAATTCTATGTATGTGTGTGTGTTCTTGGGTGCAGGTGCCCATGGAGGCCAGAAGAAGACAGTGGATCCTCTGAACCTGGAGTTAAAGGCCTGATGAACGTGAGTAGCCTGATGTGTTTGCTGGGAACTGAACTTGAGTCACCTGCAAGAGCAGTATGTACTCTTAACTGCTGAGCCCTCTCTCCAGTCTCCTGAGAAGTGTTCTTACTTGTTTTTAATCTGTCTTTCCTCCTTATTTCTGAAGTACCCATAAGTTGAAAACATGTTGAAGATTGCAGAGCAACACATGAAGAGGAGTCTGGGCCTCTGCTACCAGAGAGTGCTGTTTCAACCCAGGATCACTTCCTGTTAGGCTTCTGTGTGTTGAGAGAACAAAACCTCATGATCATGATGAGCTTTCTGCCATAGACAGTGGACCATTTTCTCAGAATGCCACTTGTTATACTTTGGATGTGATCTTGTCCCTGAACTCATGTGTTCCATACTTGGTTCCCAGAGTGGTGAGCTTGGTAGGTGGTATGAACCCTTAAAGAGGTGGGGTCTAGCAGGAGGTGTTTAGATCAGTAAGGGCACTGCTTAACAGTTTTCATGGGACTCAGCTTAGTTTCCACAAGAGGAATTGTTAAAAGAGCAGACATGGCTGTCAAGTTCCTCAACATTCTTTTTTAAAATTAATTAATGTGCAAGTCTGTATACCTGCTTATCTGTAGTGCACTGTATATGTGTGGCGCTAAGGAAACCAGAAAATGGCATCAGATGTCCTGGAACAGGGATTATGGGCAATTATATGCTGCCAAATGTGGGTGCAGCAAGGGTTCATAACCACTGAGCGACATTGCCAGCCCTACTCAGCACTGTTACAAAGAAGTTTCAAAGAGTGAAGGCTAGAAGGTTAGTCAAGACATAATATGCTCAAGACCAACAATTAAGGTGTTGATTCTGGGGATGAATATGGGGGACTTCTGTTTTAGACCCTACCACATACAATGCCAGGATGTGGACATTCTTTGGCCTTGAACATTCTTGTGGGGGAGGGGATCCATTGTGACATGTTTGTACTTGCCCCTGTCCACCTCCCCACCCCCAAGGGCTTTCCCTGGCAGTCTTTGCTGACCTGAAGGATCCCTGGACACACCTGTCCAACAGGACAGCTCTGCTGTCTCCCCAGGTCTGAAGTTCACCTTAGCTGTGACTCAGTGTGGGAAACTAATGATGGATTGGCTCAAGGGCCCATGGGAAAGGGTGGGGCAATCACAACAGTGCACTGTCACCCACCTGAGCCAGAATAGCCTGTGTTACAGAGTCTAGGAGAAAGGTCACTGCAACAGGTCTGAGAACATCTGACTTGGTCACATAGTGCCAGAGAACTGAACCAAACTGAACTCTGGCCACCAATGTTTCTTTTCCTTCTGGATCTAGAAGGATGGACGCAGATAACAAAGTCTACTGTCAGTTCATTCAACTGTTCCATGCCACCATGTTAGAGCCAGAGGATGAATGGGGCATAGGCCTTCCTCACTGGAGGGAATTGAGGAGAATCCAGGTCAAGCAGGACAGTGTTCCAGTTCTACTCATCTGCATAAACTTCTGGCTTAACTACAACAATTTGAAAAAGCAGGACCAGCCCATAGCCCTTCATTCTTGAGCCAGGAAATTGGACATTAGAGTATCAGTTGATAACAGTGCAGGGATAGTTGCCCATGGAACTAACATGAGCTTCAGGTGTGCTACTGAGGACTTAGAACATTAAATAACTAAAGTGACAATGCACTTTCTCTGGGCAGGACCTGGATTTCCTTTACCTGAAGTAGAGCAGAGTTGACAAAGTTGCAGGATGGGTTTTAGGTGGGGGTGGTCTCTGAGGTCTAATACAGCATATTTCTCTAATCCTAGGGGAGGAATAGCACTGAAGTTAGAAAATAATAGAGAAAAGATTTAGGCACCAACCCAGTCATTTCTGTATAAGTCAAAGAGATAGCCAAAGAGTAGTCCAGAATCTCAAGTAGTCCACACTGGCCTCCAACTCATTAAGTAGCCAAGGTTGACCTTAAACTTTTGATCCTCCTGCATCTACCCGCTGAGTGCTGGGATCATGAGCATGTGCCATCATGGTTTATATGATGCTGGGAATGAAACACAGGCCTCTATGTACATTAGACAAACACACTACTAAAGGAGCTACATCCCCAGCCCCAAGAAATAATTTTGGAGTCAGGGAAAGGAAAGCATTCAGTGGAACCCCACTCCCTCTGTATAACCCCATGGAGGGAACCTAACCCTCCAGAGGCTTGGTTTCCTTGCTGAATGGTGTGGGTATGCCCTGTGAGACTCCAACACCATCTGCACTGAGGAGGCAGGACAGGGTGGCTCTGACCCTGATGGCTATGATTTTAACCTAGTTTAAGTTCAGGTGGTCTTGGCGACTTGTTTAATGTCACAGTGCTTCCATTTCCTCATGTTAAAATGGTGACTAAATACCAAGAGTCAAGAATTGTGCATATTGCCCTGAGGGTGTTCAACAGACTGAGCTATCATCATCACCCTATCTGCTCTCACACACAGCAATGATGGTTGCTGCGTCTAGGGGACAGCAGGTCTTAAATGTTTCACTTCCATGCTCTTCCAGGAACTCTTCCAAAGTGTCTTTCGGATACCCCATTCTTCTACTCTCTAGACTTCCAAGGGGTGTTTCTTCAAAATACAACATCTTTTTACCTAGGTTCAAATAGAACTATCTGTCTACAGCTAATTGCCCCTTTAATGAAGCAAAGGGGGAAAGCAAGAGAAGAATTGGCTCCCTACCTACAGAAGTTTCCCATTCTTCCAGATGATCAAATGCTTTGTGCTGTCCCGATTCTTTCCTTCTTGTAGTATGTCGACCCGAAGGCACAGAGCAGAGAATTGAAAACTAAGATTCCAGGGAGTGATGAATGCTTGAGTGGGTGTGTGATAATTTGAACCCAAGGCTTTTTATCTCTGAATATCCTCATTAATGTAAGGTATCATCCTACCTGTTGCCTCTCATCTGGTACACATGCCCTTCCCTGGGATTCCGTTAGGAGAAGCTTGAAGCTTCAGGCCTGGAGGCCAAATCCTTTGCTTAAGAAGACCAAGGAGGAGAGGGAAGCCACCTACTCTGGACAAACTTGGAGCAACCCCCTACTTCTAGTGGGCAATGATTGGCGAGATCCAGAACTAACAGTATCCTAGTACCCTGATCCCATTTCCCAGGACAACTTTGGTGACAGCCCCACAACTGCATGGTGACTACTGAGCTCCTGAAATGGAACTCCTGCAGTTGAGCTATTGTTACCACAGTTCTGATGATAAGGAAAGTGAAGCTTTGTCAAGGAGTTTGTCAAGGTAGATGAGTAGAATCACTGGGATGGAACCCATCTTGTCTGGCCCCAAAGTCAAGGCTGTCACCTGCATGGTACCCTCTTATGCTGTTCCCTGAGTCTCAGCACCCTTTAGATTGCAGACAAGTGACTGAGTCATGTCTGTCTGTGCAAAGGGTCTTGCTTCCTGCTCAGCTTTACCTAGCTCCAGTTCTATGAGGCACCTGTGTTGTTTTACCGATAACAGTGTTTGTCCTTCCCAAGCCAGGGCTATAAAAGGCAGCTTTCAAAGTTACTGCCACAAAAGTGTCAACACAGGGGGGTGTATAGTCATAGTTAGAGGTGAAATGTCACCTCTGAGTTACCTCAAAAGCTGCTGGAGAGTTCTTCATAGTCCAAGGGCCTGGGGTCTAAGTCTGGTGTCTTTCCTATCACAACATACTGTACAGTGTTGGTCATGCTTTATAATTTCTCTATTCCTTGATTTTTATCATCAGTGTGAAGAGATGGTTGGAGGCTAAGACCTTAAAGCCCTCTAAAGTGTTTAGTTTGCTGGGCTTGGAATACATTTAATGACTGGGAGATACTTCATGTAGCAACCTTCAGAATAAAACCACCCCCAAACCCAAAACTTTCCCCCCAAACCTCTAACAAAGTTACCATTGATGCAGCAAAGTACTCATTAGTAGTGAAAAGAAGTGATTTTTGTGATTTTTTTTCTTAATGTAAGAAAAGTCCCCTACATGTGACCCTGGACCAAGAGCCCTGGAGCACAAAGCCACAGTCAGCCCCCAAGCATCCTGTGGAGCTCAGGTGTTCAGCAAATTGCCATCACTTAAGGAGGCAACAAAATTTTCTCGACTTTTACAATGTTTTCTCCCTCCTCCCCTGCTTTCTGGGGGTATTTCCCTTGCTTGTAACTCACACCACAAATAATACTGTGAGCCTCTGGCTGTGAGGTGCAGAGTGGAGGCTGCCAAGAACATCATAGTTCATGAGGCCCATTGCTGCCATTCAGGAAGCTGGAATTTCAGAGGACAGCAAGCAGACAGCCTCAAAGAACAGCCTCTTGCACAGGCCTCATTGAATTGATGATGGTACTCTTTTAATTCAGAATTGGGTATATAGGTGATAAACAATTGTTTGTGGTCCTGTGTCTGCTTTTCTATACACGTCATTCCTTTATCCTTAGCATGGGGTGTCTTTACTCTGTACAAAAAGGATGAATTCTATGTGAGCTAAATAATTCATTCAAGGTCAAGGTCAGTTACCTAATGATATGGGCAGAAAGGCAGGATGACCTCCACAGACTCCTAAAGCTATGCTCTTACCTGTCCACCTCCCAAAAACACAAACCAAAGAATCATCATATTTCAGGTCCTTAGCGAAGCCCATGTATAAAGGACAAAAATTATGGAAGGAGACTTCTCTAATTACTCTCTCCCAAAAATAACGTCAATGAGTTGACTCAGTTGGAATGCTAGTTTAACTCTCCTTCCAGCAGCCTGCTGGACCCCACTGCCTGGATGTCTATTCGGTGCTGTATGTAGTTCTTGGCCCTGAGTGGGCACTCACTACTTAGTTTATAAGTCAGCAATGCCTAGACACTATCCATATCCACATCCCCTGATCTATTGCTGAGTCCCTGGTGCTTAGAGGGATGAGTAACTGCTCAACAAATGCCCAATACTGAGGAATGCATTTTCCCTTCCTTCACCCCAAAGAGTTGTAGATTGTCAGCTCTGCCCAAAATACTATCATCCGTTCCAGTGTCTGAAGTCTGTGCCTTCTGCTAGGATGCTTCCATCATAGGACTCATCCAACTGATGCTGGTAATCTTTTAATTCAGCTTTAGGTCTATCCTTAATGCCCATTCCCTTCTTTCCAAATCTGAGCACAGCAACTTCTTTCTTTTATTGTTCAAAACTGTATTGTTTACAACTGAACTTTCTAAGAACCAAAAGAGAATTTAAATCAGAAACATACAAGACTGTCTCAACATTGAAGGGAAAAAACTCAACTTTCTTTCTCTCTTTTTTTTCTCTGTAGCTTTGGAGTCTGACCTAGAACTTGCTCTGTAGACCAGGCTGACCTCGAACTCACAGAGATCCTCCTGCCTCTGCTTCTCCAGTGCTGGGATTCAAGGTGTCTCCATCACTGCATGGTTAAACTCAACTTTCAAATCATAAGAAGAGAATAGTTGTTTGAAAGAGTGGTTGTAGCTCTGGGCAATCCCCCCCCCCATTAGTTGTTGCACCAGATTCCTCTATAAGAGTTAGAAATAGATATCTACAGAGTCCCATCTATAGTGTTTCTAAGACAAAACTGGAAGCATCCTCTTCCTGATG